CTCTCTCTCTCTCTCTCTCTCTCTCTCTCTCTCTCTCTCTCTCTCTCTCTCCTTCACTCGCTCATACTCATTGTCACTCTCTCTCTCTCTGTCCTTCCCCCCTTTCTCCTTTTCTCGTTGTCCTTTTGTTTAAGATGACAACTTTTCTCCTCGACAATGAGTGATGGTCTTGGTCGGCTCGACTGTAACTGTATTATCAAACGTCAGCCCAGCTGTTGTGGTTGTGATTGTTGTGAGGATGGTGTTGGTGGTGGAGGTCGTCATTGTCGTCAATCCAGCTGTTGTATTCAGATGCATGGTACTCAGCGAACAGGGAGCTCGGTTTATGGTCGATGCTACGAACCTTCCTACCAAAGGGATAAAGAGAAAATCCCCATTCAAAACTTGAGTTGTCCGAGAGAAAAGCGGATACATTGTGTAAAGTATAATAGTCACAAAAAGGAAATTGTGATGATAAAATAAATATCACAGACATGTAAATTCAGAACTTCATTTCTATTTGATTGTTGGTTTATTAGAATTGTTAAGTTTGTGGTCCAGGATACCATCACGGGGATAAAGACAAAATTCTCGCTTAAAATTTGTTTTGTTTGAAATTGATGCTTGAAGAAACATTACTGTTTGAACCCCGACACTGCTTACTGTATGCTTCCCGAGAATCTCAGAATGTTGAAAGTGTTGTCCGGTCTGCCGGGGTAATAAAATAGATTCTAAAGCACTTAAAGGCTGCTGTTGAGCATAACAAATTAAAACTATACTTGTAATATTATTATTATTGTTATTATTACAGTGTATTACGTTTAGCACATGGGGATATGGAAGGTCAAATATAGTGCATGCATTTCGCCGTCGCACGCAGAGGAACAGGATTTGATTCCTGTGTGGGGAGAATGTTTATCAGGTATCGCAGTCTTTCGTCTGTGATACATTTTAAAATCTTCTGAGCCCAGGTTGGCCGCGACAGACATAGTCTAAGCCCGCCTCCTAAATGATATAAATTGTGTCAGTGGTGGCGTAAAAAAAATCACCTACATATTAAAATGTATATTGTTCTGTTTCGCCCCCCCCCCCCCCCCGCCCCCTGGGCAATGCTACTGACTGAAGTGTCTTTAGGACTTTAGACCATTTCCAAAAGGGGGATACTAACTTGTTCTTATGCACAGTAAAATTGTAAATGGGCTGATTTATCAATGTCATGCTCATACTGTGCCGAAACAACATTGGGAGAACTGCTGCTTTTTCTTTCCTTATCCTTATTATCGTCGTGTTCCCCCTACTTCTTTTGTCTCACTCTCTTGTGAACTGCTATTTCCGGGGTGCCTTGATCAATGATAGTCGAAGCAGACTTTGTGCTGTTGAAGCTAGAGAGGTGAGCAGAGTAAGCCTGATTCCCCGTTCGGACTTCTCTGTTGACATCCACCCCTTGGCGCTCACATGACTTTATGCAGTTGCGAACGCCGTAAATCCTTACTAAAACAACAAACTTTCAGTATCCACTTCTATTATGTGTATACATGTATTTATGTAGTCGCATGTACGTATGTCTGTATACTTGTATACGGACACAGACATGTGTTAATGTGTGTGTGTGTATGTGTGTGTGTTTGTGTGGGTGTGTATGTAACACTGTTACTGCTGCTTGCCTAGTGCAGTGGGGTATTCATATTATTATTACATGTATTGCAGATCTTTTTATAGATATATACGTTTAAATGGAGCATGTTCAATAAATGAAACTTTAAAAAAAAATTAGCTAATGTGCAGCTGATATTTTCTTAAACATTTCTAATATAATGAGTTGTCAAGCTGTTTCTTCGCGTGATATTGATTTGCTGGTGTGATGAGGGCATTCAATCGCTTGCTTTTCGGAAATGATTATAGCTACACACCATAGTGGCAACAAACAATAAATGTCTTACTCAGTACATGTACTATGTTTTTTTCTTACAAATTAGCGCCGAGCTGTTACTTTCTGAGAATACACATCTGTAACTGTGAGGATTTTTTAAAAGTGATTGAAGGGATCAGAAAAGTAATACGTCTAATTCACTTTGAGGTCTTTTCGAGAAAAAAAACACACGCACGTACGCACGCACACACTCACACACACACGCACACAAACAAACAAACACACACACACACACACACACATATACACACACACACACAGCCGGACTACAGTATCATGTAGGCCTACAACATGCACCAAGTTTGGGTAATTTATGAATACCATACTCTGATTCGTGGGGGGTTGGCGGGTGCTCTAGTATGGTTTGCTTCTTCTTTCCTATCAAACATCTATCGTCTTTTTCCCCCCTCCTTCTTTTTTGTGTTTGTTACTCTCTTGTAACACCTCTAATCTTGGGCACTTATATATCCTTATTGTGTTGCAAGTGCCGTAAAACACTTACTAAAACTGAACTGAATACATGTACTCTGATTCAAAGCCACCTAGTCATTTCGTTAATAAAAATGTTATGTTGCATAGTCTCACATGACGAATGACATGTTTCATCTTACTAAAAACTCTACTTTTTATATTAGCAAAATGTGACTTAGATCCTAATATTTTTCGGACCCAGTACTTTTCTGCTTTAATGTTGCACACGTTCACTTGCTTGCTTGCGGTGCTGTGTTGACGTTTCCGAATAAAATACCATTGTTTCTTTCAGTCTGTCTTATGCAGTGTATCTATCAAATGTACATTTCTTCGTCCCTGTGCTCTATCCAAGCGTAATCTTAGCAATTCTCTCTCTCTTTCTCTCTCTCTCTCTCTCTCTCTCTCTCTCTCTCTCTCTCTCTCTCTCCCTCTCTCTCCCTCTCTCTCTCTCTCTCTCTCTCTCTCTCTCTCTCTCTCTCTCTCTCTCTCTCTCTCTCTCTCTCTCCCCTGAATCAACCAATCTATCTATCTATCTATCCAGCTATCTATCTATCTATCTATCTATCTATCTATCTATCTATCTATCTATCTATCTATCTATCTATCTATCTATCTATCTATCTATCTATCTCACACACACA